TTAAGAATCGACATCACAGCCCTCCTCACACTCCCATAAGTGTTCCATCCCCATCATCGGCAGCAAGCGAAGGGTTCCAGTTCCGATGGCACCCTTAGCCGTCTGCTTGTATATCCGTCTCATCCTCCCCTGGGTGTTTAGCGTCGGCCAGATCCCCTGGTAACTCCTCGCAGCGCCATTCGTCCATCACAAGTTATGAGGACCACCCTTTTTTTCATCCTTCAAGAGTTTAATGTTTGCGAGTCCGGAGGCGAATTATAGGTCCTAGAAGAGTCTAAGACAGTGAGGGCAGGGCATATCTATTTCTGATTCCACTACATCAAATTTTCCTTTTCTCTCTTTCTCTCGTCGGCTCTGTGGCTGAGTCGATGCGAACGATTCGTAATGCCGGGTTCAATCCCAGCTGCGGGCCATGCGCCTTGCGTTGGTTTTGACAGTGGAATCAAGAAAGCCGACCGTACAGTAAGCAATGGCAAACTACTGGACATAAATTTGCCTAGAAAACCCACACAACAGCCAGGGGCTGCTGGAGTTGGTTCTGCAACGTCATGTAAAGGATACGCAACTAACCTTTATGCTCAAAATGCTTTAGGGCATGGAAAAGAGCCATGTATGTTTCTTTCTGTCACTCGATCGCTTCTGTATTGTATTCAGTTGTCCCCACCCCCCTCCAACCCCAAATACGGCTTATCTTTGCGTATTCAGATATCTGTAGGGTCCGAAAAGCTATTCGTCTATTTGCAGGAGGTGAAAGTATTTTGGGAAAAGAACAAGCAGACAGATTGACTAGTTCTGTACTACTTGGTGGTACATTTATAAATGCCAAGTTAGATTTCTAACAGGCCCGTTTGGAAAGAATGAGTAAGATTCAACCCGACCAGGACATCCACCAAGCGACAAACACCTGGTGAAGCAAAGTGCCAACATGCGGATGAGGATCAACTGGGAAGAGGTCCAAGAAACCCTGTTCACCGTTAGGTTATATTAAGGCCCCCAACTACAGTCACTTCTCTTCTATGACTCCCTGTGAAAATACTCTTGACTTGTTTTCCTATTGAACAGTTTTAATAAAAGTCGTCCCCATGGGGGATGACATTTTTGGTTATTTGAAGCCCCACCCTGGCTTCTGCCAGGGGTCCTGAATATAGCCGGGGCATAAATATGGCCTAGCCATAGATTTGGCCTAACGGCTGAAAGGGGTTTTTGGGACCTCTCCACAGGTAATCCTCATCAGCATGGTGGCACTATGTGTCACCGGGTGTTTATCGCTTGTGTGATGTCCTGGTGGGGTACAACTACCTACCCTACTCTACTAAACCACAATTCGTTCCCCTTCTTGTTGTTCGTTGTTTGCGTTCACCGGCTGTAAACTCCGGCGTAAAGACATGGTTGTTCTCCATTTCTAGGCTTTGCCTTTCTTCCAGGACCTGAGTTTTGCGTGTGCATTCGATTTACAGATCGTGCTTATATGTAGGCAGACTTGTGGTTCCTTGCCTCTCAGGCAGATGTACTCCAACACTGAAGGAAGCTCCCAATTAGTCGACACTTACGACATGCTTGTTGGGAAGGCAATGGATGTATTCTTGTTTTCCCCAAAATTGGGCCCTGGAACCCATACAGCCAGTTCCTCTTTTTCATGTTGACCGCTTCCGGTGTATATTAGTAGTAGTAGTAGTAGTACCGTAAAACCTCGTTTACATGAATTTGCCTAAGAAGAACACTTTGTTAAACTAAATATTGGACCCAGCAAGGATGTATTATTGTTATTAAAGTCTCCATCTGAGTTCCGGGGCTCCATTTTGGGGAAACAACAATAGACCCACCGACCCCAATAAAGTTAGAAAGTCGACAGGATGGACTTCATTGCACCGGGTTTTATTCCGTAGGGCTTGTTTTCGGTCTGCTGAATGGCTCTCTGCCGAGAGCATCGAACATTGTAGCTCCAGTGACGATCCCTAGGAATCACCATAAAACAATTGCTGCACTAGTAATCTGAACGGTGCGCCGTTAAACAAACCTACAACCTTCAGAGCGTGAGGCAAATGGCTTGACCACTGTGCCACGGAGAACCAGCCCTCCAATAAGCATGTTGTAAAAGGCAACTTCTTCGCATTCACCAGCTGTAAACTCCGACAGAAAGTTCTGGTTGTTCACCCACTACTGGACTTTAGTCTTGTTCCATAACTTGATTTTTGCATGCTCATCCGCTTAACATATCTGATTTACTTGTATGCAAACTGTTGGTTCCTCACCACTTAAGCAAATGTGCTCCGACGTTAGAAGAAAGATTAGTAATTAGTATTCTTTTACTTCCTGTGTGAGTTCCAGGGCCCTGTCGTGGGTAAACCAAGAATAGACCTTAAAAGCATGTCGTAAGAATTGACTAACTGGGTGCTTCCTTCAAAGTCAGAGTATATCTGCCTGAGAGGAACGGAACCAACAGTCTGCATATACATGAAACAGATTGTAAAATAGATGTGCACGCAACACTCAGGTTCTGGAACAGGACTTGAGTCCAGAAGTGGACGAACAACCAGAATTGTGCGCCAAATTTAACAACCGGTGAATGTGAAGAAGTATTCTTTTAGGACACGCTTGTAAGGGTGTCAGTGGGTCTATCCTATTTTCCCTTAAAATGAGACTCCAGAACACACACTGGGGGAAAAAAGGTGACTAACCAGGGTTGTTTCCTTCCATGTCTGAATGCACCCCCTCCCTCCACAACCACATGATGTAAAAAGAGTCACAACTTAGTGGTTTGCTGAAATCGGATGTGCTGGGCCAAAATGTTCAGATATCACAGCCTTGCTGTAAACCAGAACATGATTTATAAATGCTGTGATGGTTTCTAGATATTCTAGCAGTCTAAGGTATTTGCAACATTCTTCTCAAGAATCACATCTCAGCTGCCTCTAAACTCTTCTAATTGTTTTGCTCGCATTCCAAGATTCACTTCCTTACAAAAAAACCAGGCTTGATATGACATTTCAGTAGTTGTTTTCCGATGTTTAATGAGAGTGATTTATTACATAAGATACTTTTCATCTTCTGAAATGTTTCCTTTGCCTGGCAATTCTGCTCCTAATGTCTGTCACACATCATTCATCTGATGTTTTGAATTTTCTCAAATACTTGAATTTACTGACTTGGTTAAGCACAAACTATTTTCTTCTTCTTCTTTGCGTTCACTGGCTGTAAACTGCAGGGGAAAGTTCTGGACTTATTCTTTTGCTCCAAAACCTGAGTGTTGCATACACATTTGTTTTACAGATCTGACTTATTTGTATGCCTTTAAGGCAGAGGCACTCCGACTTCAAAGGAAGCCCCCAGTCGGTCGACTCTTACGACATGCTAGCTGGGGCGGCAGTGGGTCTATTCTTGTTTTCTCTACAATGGGGCCCCAAAACTCACACAGGGGAACCTATTGTCTGAAATAGTGATATGTTGGCCAAGAACAAAAATGTAGTAAACAACAGATATTTTCCATGCCTTTGATTCCCACGACATTACATGTTACCCATTTTAGGTTGGATCAGTCTGGGAGGAGCCAAGGTTAACTTCGAAAAAAGTTGCCTCAGTGCAGATTTGAACCCCAGACCTTTGAGCCAGAAGGAAAGTGTCTAGCCACTAAACTACCACAACTATAAGAAGGAACAGAGTAAAAGTAAAGGACCCTTTTCCTGACTTCACGTGTACAAGGCATACAGGGCTAGACCTATATAATTAGACCAATCGGCACTCAGAGGTGGTGTTGTCAACATCGCGCTAGCTGCCTTTACTTCCCGAGACTTTACCTGGTACCCATTTAAGGCTGGACCTGGAAGCCAAGGTTATTTGTGAAGAAAGTCTGGCTCTATCGGTACCTGAACCCATGACCTTGTGAACCACAGGAGAACATCTAGCCGCTATGTCACTGCGGCTCCCAAATAAGGAGGGAGCAAAAGCTAAAAAAGGTGACAACTCAGACCCTACAATTGTGTTTTCCATAAAACAGTGTGTCGCTCATCCTTCATGCACCCAAAGGTCTAGTCAGACATTTTCCTTCATCAAGTCTCAGACAGTCTTGACCCTTTTACATTATCCAGTCAGCAAATCAAATGGTTTGCCCACTTTGAAAGAATGCCTTGTGAAGCCATACCATACAAGGTATACACCAAAAGAGGATCAGCAAAAGAGACACAGACAAAGAACATGAGGCAGACCAAGAAAAATATGGAAAGATAACGTCAGAGAAACTCTACACAACAGTAGAATGTGTCTATGGTTAAGTCAGCCAGAAGAGCAAGAAGCAGAATCTTATACACCCCTTGACACCCAAAGCAGAAACAGAGGAAGTAAAGAAGAAATTATCCAGTACCTTTTAATGACAAACACACAGTACTCATCAATAATTCCTTATATGACAGAAATATTTAAACTAGTTCTGAACACAAAAAAAATAATTCTGTGACTAAAAGAACATACAAGACAATGAATTGATTTGTGTATAATCTCAGACAATTTAATAATGCCATCAGTAAATGCATGTTGCGAATAATATGTCTTTTACTGCAAGTAATAAAAATAAAATATCAGTAATGCTGCAAAAGAAACAGCAACATGGACCAAATGTAACTAGTACAGAAGTGGACGTAAGACCAGAACTTCTCCCTGGAGCTGACAGACTGTGAACATCAAGAAGAAGACTTGACATCCAGTCGATGGGTAGAGCTTGGATCTAACTCAAATTTTTTTTTTGGGGGGGGGGGGGGGGGGGAAGAGGGGGATTTGCCTCTGAAGGATCTGACCTCTAAATCTTCAGGCGGCTGGTGAGCATTCAGCCATGACACCACTACAGCTCCCTGTCCAATTCTTAACCCTTCAAAAAAAAAATGTTCATTCATTCAGACATCAAACTGGTTATCTCTGAAGCAAATACATTTTGAAGAAAACCACCAACTCCCATTAAAGTAAACTTGATAAAAATTACACATTCAAAAGAATTCAACAAATGAGTTGTACTAATGCTTCAGCTTCTTCTTCACCGGCTGCTTTCCTCCTGACTTTGAATTAGGTGTCTCATTCCCTTCCTCATCTCGAGCTGGCTGCCACTTCAGGGGTTTTCTCCGGTAAAAGCCCCACGGAATTAAAGTGAGCTGCAATGAACACACACACATTAAATGTAGTACCACACCCAGCATATTTAACGTGGAATGCTGCATGGAGCAGAAACACGAAAAATGGCTATAACAATTACTAATAACTAAAAACATTCATTAAAATGATACAGAATCATCATCATGTAGCAGGATCTTTGCAGAAGGTCGCTCACATCACAGCCTGCCTGAAAGAATGTTGGTCTCTTGCCAGGTCTCCAGCCTTGTGCACCCTCTTACCCAATGTATCACTTCTGCTCATCTTTGTGCTGGTCGACCCATGCCCCTCATTCCTGGTACAATGCCTTCTGCTATAATTCTTTCCAATTTGCTGTAGCGCCTATGGCTAAAGTATTTCAGTGTCTGAGACAAGATGCTGTTTACTAGTTAGTCAAGTTCAGTGAAGTTACAGTAAAGTTCATACTAGAAACAACATTGCAGATACATATCATTTATTTATTAGAGACAAGTGACATATTTTGGCCACATTAAAAGACATTACAGATCATCCTAGAGGGAAAGGTTCAAGGTAGGCGAGCAAGAGGCAGACAGCGTTAAAAGTGGGAGGATAACATCAAGAGATGGACGAACAGCAGTATGAGTGAGTGTACATCAAGGACAAGAGACAGGGCTTGTTGGAGATCCATTGCAGCCAACCTTCATTGTGGAGACGGCACCTGATTGATTGATTGATAATTTATTTCAAGCGAACGAAAAAAAGAAGAAAAAGAACCAGAGAATCTTCCTTGATGTTAAGAACTTCTAGGATGTCAGTATTTTTTTCCTTCTTGGTCCATGGTATTCTGAGAATCTTTCTAAAGCAAAAAGCCCCAACTTTCTTCCTTAATAACGAGACATTCCACAACACATATCCGTTTGTATGCCCTAACAGTTCTGACCTTGATTTGCTTGCTGGTGCTTAACCTCAGACTTTTAATACTGTTTAATCTTTGCATTATTCCACTCATGGAATCAGATGCAAGAAAATTAAATATATTCGATGTGAGATCACAAAAAGTAGGCAAAAAATCCACAAGGAAAAGACAAAGGTAATAAGAATAACCAGATAAATAGTAATCTTGTGTCTCAAAATGGTATCCCATAACTGACAGAAATATCAAAATACGAATCTCATAATTTTCACAACACTAGGAAATTTGTGAAGGTCAAAAGAAATAAAACTAATGCTAAATTTAAAATTTGTAATTCTAATTTCAAATCAGTACTACTGAGTGGAGTGGACACACTGAGAACAACTAAAACAATTACAAATAAACTAAAAACATTGTGGTGCCTGTGCAAAATAGAGGGAATTGAATGGTATGATGGAATCACTAATGTTGACTTTCATGAGAGAACAAGTTTCAGTGGACGAAGAGGTGAATGAAGACGATGGTGTTAGATAGGTCACACAATGAGAATACCTGAGAACAATGTAACTAGAATGTCTTTGCAATGGAACCAAGATGGGTACAGAAAAAATGCAGGCAAAAAAAAAAACCCACAGGGAAAAGGGGGCTAGAGGGTGAAGTTAAAAAGATGGGGAGAACAGGAATCAGCTGCATCAGAACGTGATGTGAAGATGAAGACCAGAACGACTCTGCTCGGGACCAAGGCTCCAATGGGGAATAGAACGCAGAAAAAGAAAACAAATCTTTACACTGCTATGGCCATATTACTTCTGACTTCCGCCGAACAGTCTCAACTGTTGTTTATTATGGAACCTAGATATTCAAAGTTTAGAAGGTATTAATTGCCCAGAAAGAATTTGGTGTCAACTGGTGAAGGCCTATGTTACACTGGGGAAATGTTTGTTTTGACCAGCTTCTGTGTGTGGGTTGCCGGGGCCCCATTGTGGGGAAAACAAGAATAGATCCACTGCCACTCCAATAAGCATGCTGTAAGAGTCCACTAATTGGGAGTTTACTTCGATGTCTGCGTGCATCTGCCCAAGTGGCAAGGAACAACCAGCTGCACACAAATGAGCCAGTAAAATGGATGTATGCGCAAAACTCAAGTCCAAAGGGATAAACAACCAGGACCTTCTGCGGCAACGTACAGGTGGTGAACAAAGAAGTTCACCAGCTGTAAACTCTGGTGCAAAGTCCTGGCTGTTTATCCACTTCTGTGGCTTTGGCTTTGTCCCAGGACCTTGAGTTTTGCGAGTGCATCCTTGACAGATCTGACTGGGAGATGAAAGGCAGAAGAGCAAGAACAATGACATAAATATGATACTTACCAGACTGGAGAGGAAGACACCAACAAAGAGAATATACAGTGTCTGAGAGAACAGCTGAACAGCATAGCCATACACAAAACCTATAACCTGGGTTGACAGAAAAAATAAATAAATTATTTCACAGTATTTACTCATTGTCGCAGGTCGACCCAGCCTAGAATGGGTACCAGGATGGGCTGTCCTGGGAAAGTAAAGACAGCGGGCGTTATGCTATACACATTACCCACCGAGTGCTGATGGTCTGTAAAAATATGGGCGCTCTTCCCATATGCCCAATACACCTAAAGGCGTCAAAAGGGATCTTTACTTTACTTTTTTACTATATGCCCAATATGCCTGAAGGCGTGGAAAAAGGACTTTTACTTTACTTTACTATTTACCACTTTTAGTGTATTGTACAACAGGGGCAATGTATTGACTGGCACTCACAGAAAGAATTAGAAAGACAGAAGGACACACTATGTTGTCTAGTGTGTCCTTTTATCTTTCTTCTTTTTTTGTGAGTGCCAATCAACACATTGTCTGTCTGTTATACATAATGTTTCTATGACCTCAAGAATCCTTACTCTGTTTATTTATATGTAGAACAGGTGGTCGTGAGCCTGAAGATTGAAGGCTGCATGACCCATGCAGTCGCCACAAACTGTGCAGGTCAGGATCTTTTAGTTTTGCTTCTGACAGAACAAATCTCCACGCTTGAGGACTGAACCCCCCCCCCACATGACAGCCTAGCACTCTGACCCAGCCAGCTGCTCCTCGGTACAAGTAAAATCCTCGTGTGGGTTCCAGTCTCATTTTGGAGGAAAACAGAATAGATCCACTGCCTTCCTATCAAGCATGTCCTAAAAGGTGACTAATGAGGGATTTTCCTCTAAAGTTATGCATGAAGGCAAATGTAGTTCTAAAGGTACCAGGGATCACTTCAAAAGATGCCCAGACGGAGACACAACAGAGAACCATGGCTCTTGCTTTGCTTGATAAGAAATGTATCCAAACATCACTTGGACTCAGGTTTTACCGACGGCTCTGCTATAGATGCACTCAGAAAGGGGGGTTGTGGAATATACATTAAACCCCCTAGCAGTAGAGCAGAAACTCTCTCTCTACCAGCAGGTGACATCTGCACTAACTTCATAGCTGAGGCAACTGCCCTCCTTTCTGCAGTCCAACATCTCATCACTCAAGAACACAGAGGGCACAAAATTGTTATACTTAGTGACTCATTGTCTGTTCTCCAAGCACTATCAAGCAAAAAACAAGTCCAACTAATTGCAGATCTAAGGACCAACATTGGCTTACTCTCCAAGGAAGCAGAACCGGTCTTGCAGTGGATACCAGCCCACTGTGGTATTCAAGGAAATGAGAGAGCAGATGAGTTGGCAAAAGCTGGGAGTAATCTTCCACAACCTCATCCACCACACAGCTACAAGGAAACCAAAACAGCACTAAAGCAGTCTTTCAACCGGGAGTGGAAAAAGCAGAATAGAGATTACAGACCAGAGAGTGACAGCACAAACAAACTCAACAGGAAAGAACAAACATCAATTTTTAGACTTCGGACTGGACACTGTGGTCTTCGAGCACACCTGTACAGGATAGGCATAAAAGAATCTGCTGCCTGTGATTGTGGAGCAGAAAGACAGACCCCTGAGCATATACTGCAGTACTGCCCTTACCTCTCCCAGCAAAGACTGTGGATCTGGCCCAGGGGATCCACATTGCGAGAGAAGCTATGGGGGACCGGTGGCGACCTTAAACGCACAATCCTATTTTTGACCCAGACGGGACTCAATGTGTAGCATGACTGATGTCGAACGCAGAAGAAGAAGAAGAAGAAGAAGGAGTGTATCCACTGAGAAGCAAGGAACCAACAGCTCAAAATATTGGGGCTGAGCATTCCAATCATGTTTGTTATTGTTGTTGTTGCTACACTTGTTCTGACCTAGCAATTACTACTGGTTTGAGCAGTTCTGGTCGATCTTACACTGTTAACAGTTTCAGTGTAGATAAAATATGAATGAATGAATCAAGAACTGACATCACTGCATTCAAGACATTACCCCTCGTGCTCCTCTCCTTCCTCAGTAGACAACAAAGAGTCGACAAATTTCCCTGGCCGTCATGGCGCATCATTTTTGAGAACATTTCTGGTGCTATGATGATTTTTCCTCAGAAAGTGAAGATGAAGATATTACTGAACAGTTCAATGACTTTAATTAATCTTAGTAAGTGATACTAAAAGCATTGCAAAATCTTAAACAACGGCGTGTCGCTTCCAAGTCAAGTCTGATGGCCGGCATGGCGGCAACGTTTTGTGGCATATTTCTTGTGCTTGAAAGATTTTCCTTGATTGTTTTAACATCCGAAAGTGATATTTCTTAACAGTGTGATGACTGTGACTAAAGATTTGTATGAACTGCCATCAAAAACGTCAATGAAATGATTCCCTTATCAAGTGTGGCAATATTTTATTTTGTTTAGACTCATGTATTTGTTTTAGATGCGTATTGTTAGACGCATCAGCTAGTACAGATTGTGTATATTATGGCTGAGCTTAGAGTTTAGCGAAAAGCAACTCACAATGCAGTCCTCTATATTTACCAGGGTGTGATTTCCACTATGGGCGGTTTGGGAAAATACAGTTTGTGTGGCTTTTTGAGTTTGATAATTCAGTCATACTGCATCAGATATTCTTGCTGCAAAATAGCAAACAGCCACTGATACTGTAGAATTTAACTTCATGGTTATATCCATGTGGGTTCTGGAACTTCATTTTTGTTGAAGAAAGAACGACTGCCTCCTTAACATAGGAGCTGACTAACTAGGGAGGGACATCCTTTGAAGTAGGAGTGCATCTGCCTGAGAGGCAAGGAACCAACAATGTGCATTTCAATAAGTCAGATCTGTAAAACAGATGTGTATGCAACACTCAGGTTCTGGAACAAGACTAAAGTCCAGAGGTGGAAGGACAACCAGAACTTTCACCAGATGCAGTCTGACTTCATAGTTAACATTGATCTTAGTTAAGCTGGCCAGGTTTCAAGTTGGGAACCTGTTTCTAGGATGACCGCGGAGAGAAGTAGATAGGTCTCAACCAGTATGAGCCCCAGTCCTGGTGCACCACCATGTACGGTTGACCACCTCTGCATTCCAAAGTAAATACTTACTGCAAACACAATAATGATGGCTTGAAAATATCTCTCTGCCTTTCCCTGGCCGTCAAAGTCCTGTCAAGAAAGTCAAAAGTATGGGTCATTAAGAAATTTGTTCTGTAACTGATCATAATTCTAAAACAGATAAATTGAACACTTTAGCGTGGATGGTCAGACAGAGGGGCTGCTGTTTCTAGCAATTATGGCTTGCAACTTTTATGTTTATGAACTAGCAATTGTAAAAGAGTTCACAGATGAACCTTAGATAAGAGAATTTCAAGAAAGGAAAGGTGAAGAAAACAGAAAAATGTTTGGACAACAACAGGTTTTAACAGAAGACAAATAAGATGGATCTATCAGGCACATCCTGAGAAAATCAGACAGGCACTGAAATGGGACACAAATATATTGAGGACATCCAAGAGAAACTGAAACAAATGTTGATGAGACAGGCCAAATGTGCTATACTGAAAATGGCCATGGCAAAGTGGATATTTTTACCTTTAACCTCTTTTAATCATTAACTCATCAAGTGCTTACTTAAAACTAGTGACCTGGTGACCATTTTAATCTGTTAATTAGGCCTATATTGCACCATATGTATTTGATAAATGCATACACAGTTAGATCTCACTGTTTGATTCCAGAAATGTATAATTACTAATGGATTTGTGAAGAATCAAAATAGTTACTGCCATGAAATGCAAACATTTAGTTATTTCATCGCTACATTTTACTAGGCAGCAGCCCAGAATCCATTTTCTGTCACATTCCACTATAATTATTTGTCTATGGTGGTATTCGCGACTAAAATGTTCATATCTGTTCTTAGAATCTACTTACAGGCTTCAGTGAGGTATCGTTGGATTTGTCATTTTTATATCAATCTGAGATGTATCATGAGTGAAAACCGGTTCTCCTTCGAACTTCTACCCCATATTATGGCAGCCAAACAAATACCCTAACAGGGCCTCAGTCGTGTGTAAAATGCGGACTTCCTCCGATGAACACATCACAGAAAAACTAGGATTACTTGATAACTCTGAATTACAACACTGCAAACGATAGTAGCAGACAATAATAGCGACAGTTGACAATTTTGAGCGTTTCTGCAGATGATACTAGCGACCATTGACAATTTTGAGACATGCAACATTACAGATGATAATAGTGACATGGCAGAGAGACCACGCACTCCGACGCAGATTAGCAATAGTGTTCTTCTGATTAAATTCACCGCCGAGCGTATCCCCCGTAGCGGCAAGGACAGGGATCTAAAATGATGCCTGGGACTCGCAAGCAAATAAATTGCAGGAAATTGCAGGAGATACGGTAGCTGCTGCTCGTGAGTCCCAGCCATCTAATTTAGCCCCCCATCTGCGCCGAGCATATACTGTCGGCAGTGCGGCACAGTCGCAGAAACAGGTCTGCAATTAACATATCGCTGAGGTCCTGTTAGAGCATTTGTTTCGTTATTTGAAGCCGATCCTAGTTTTGCCGCGATCTGTTCCTCGGCAGAAACTCCGTATTTTGCAGAGGACTGAGGCCCTGTTAGGGTATTTGTTTGGCCACCATGGGGTAGAAGTTCGAAGGAGAGCCAAAACCCTATATATATATATATATATATATATATATATATATATATATATATATATATATATATATAATATATACACAATATATACTTCAATAGTATCCCTAGTGTTATTTGCTACCAAATTACGTTCAGCTGAATTTTTAATACCCTGATATATCAGAGTTGAGTTTATAACCCCAAATTATAGGTACGGGTACTAGTACTATTCAAGTCAGCTGTGTTACAAACCCTGAGCCACAGTCACAGACAGTCGAACTTTCCGACCTTAATCTACTACTACTAATCATGCAATCATCGGGCTTGCTTTCTGAACAGAAATCACATCATAGACCACAATACACTGGGAATTAATTATAAGCCTACCATATGATGTGGAAGACTTTTAATGCTGTCAGGCAGTAACGGAAGAATGTGCTCCATGCTGCAAAAATCGATCGTGAGAGGTTTCCAGCAAGTACAACTTGCACACAACAAGATTTGGAAAATTTTAAAGCAACGTAGCAAAAGATGCACCGGAAGTGATCAAAACGGAAGTTGGTTTTTTTTTTGTTAATGATAATTGAAACCAACGCTATGCCATCAATGTCAAACATAGACACTTTCTTCAGAAGACAGAAAGAGAATAGTCATTCAGAAAAGAAGGGGGTCGCGTTAGCGCAGTCGATAAGCGGCTGCAGCCCGCGGCTGGTGTTCGAAACCGGGCGGTTCCCTGGGGTAACCCACCCTCTAGGAAATGGGTACCAGAGTTGACATTGGGGTAAATTGAGGAATGTCGCTGCAGCTACAGAGTTACGTGCGAATGGCGACACAGGAGGACAGTTCTTATCAGCTGTCCGTACTGGTGGCAGAGCAATTATGGTTTATAACCGTGTGCAATGACGCTGGTTCACATTTCCCCACTTTACTTTTACATAAATTAAATGTTTACGTACTATGCTAAGTGTAACGAGGAAATATCGACTTAGGAACGATGATATCAGGAGGAGAGTTTGCACATAACCAATACTAAACTTTATAGGTAGACAACGCATCAAATGGTTTGGCCATGTAATAAGACTGGCATCAGACAGGGCATCACAGAAAGCAATGTTATACAGATGCAGCGGTAACAGAGCCAGAGGTCGACCACGCAGAAGATGACTGCAGAAATATCGGAGACACTGGAAAGTACTTTATACGAAGCGAACAAAAGGGCCAGTTCCAGAGATGTTTTCTTGCCCCGAGGCATTCCAGGAGTAGAGAGAAGACAGAAAAAGAAGAAAGATAATTTATTGCTTCTTAAATTCTTCTCTTCTTTTTTTTTCTTCTTCTTCTTTGTCATCATCATCGTCGCCACTCATCACCATCTTTCCTTCTTCCCCCTCTTCATCTTCCCCATTCTTCTTCCTTCTCCCCCTCCTTTACCACATCCCTTCCTGCTCCTTCTTCTTCAATATTCGTCATCATCACATTTTCTTCTCCCCTCCCTCTTGTCCCCCCTTCTCCTCCACCTCCGCATCCCCACTCCTTCTTCCTTCTCGTCTTCTTCCTTTTCTATAATCAGCATTTTGCCTGCTCCAGTATTTGGTTATAAATAGGTCGATGCATTCAAGAGTTTCACAGGACTCCCATAATTTGTCTTGTTTGGAGACTACTTTGGACCTAATTTATATTCTCTGTTTGACAAATATTCGGCCTTGCCTATCACACTTTTATTTCCTTAAGCAGTTAATGGGTGTTGGCATGAGTGTGGCTACATAACCTACTAGAGGACTTAAGCTACTAAATCTAACGAATCATTAACAAGTCTACAAACAGCTTCTCGAAAATTGTTTGAGGATACATCACATAGCAGGCCCTTTACAGAACGTCGTTCGCATCACAGTCTGCCTGAAAGAAACTCGGTTATTATAATATAGCATAAGAAAATAAGAAGGAGCAGAATGTCACAGTGTCCCTAACAATCTCTTAAAAAAATGAATTGAGTATCCGTTCTTGTTGAGATGACAAATGTAAAAATCCTAAGAAAAGTTTTTATGGAGAGATAAGACGTCACATGGAGTTTGGTGCATCAAAGGATACTAACTACCCGGGACCTCTGAAGTGATGCTTGCCAATCTGCACGGAGCATACCTGTCTCCACCTTTCTTAACATGTTCTGTGAGTCAGTGACAATCACGGCATGTGTACAGCTAATTCTCAAGCCAGCGGAAGACAGCAGTGACTGCCTCCACCTCGATTCTCAAACTAGACATTGTGATATTAAATGCCAGGCTTTGTTGCACTAAGCGACGTCCATTCGCCTTTGCTATAAACCCCCGTGCACTTCGTCTGCCACTCATATTTTATAGAATAATCGGCACTCCTTTTCTGCACAGGAACAGTGCTTAAAACTCATTTTAGGCAGGGTCGTCCAAGGAGCCAAAGTCATTTAATGTTGTGGTTTATGACATATTATTTTATGCTCTTATTAGTGACTGCACAGAGTTATCCATTTCTAGGTAAATATTGGGGTTTCCTCCCTTACAGCCTCGTTCTGGAAGCCGAATGTCGGACACAGAGAAAAAAAAAATAACAAGCAGAAATAGGAGGACGCCATCTTGCAGTAAAAGTTGGTGTTTTTGAGTGGGTTTCTGACCCTTTTCTTGTCTCCAGGATGGGGGAAACTAAGATAATTTACCATATTGATGACGAGGATACTCCTTATTTAATTAAACTTCCCATTCCAGCGGATAGAGTGACTCTAGGGGATTTTAAAAATGCTTTGAATAGACCCAATTTTAAGTTCTTTTTCAAGTCAATGGACGATGATTTTGGGTAAGGGTTCGGGTTCGTCATTGTCTGTTTTGTGATTTGTTGAAGCGATTGTAAAGTTGGTAACATTTTGAAAATTATAGCATTCAAGATAGATTGAATATGCACTTCTGAGACTATTTATAAGTTTTTCTATGTTAATTATGTTTAAAAATCAAAACAATTATTAATATTATTATTACTTAGCGAATTCAATTACTCAGTAATTAAATTACTGCTTTTTTGCAGTTTTATTTTGTTTTGGGTTCTTCAGTATTTAGTATTTAAAATAATACATTTTTCAACTTTCCTGTTAAATTGATTCAGTTTCAGTTAATCAGTTATTGCATTGTTACTTATTGCACGTCATAGGTATTTACATCTGTTGGATACCCATTCATTGTCATTATTACATTATAAATTAACTGTACAGTACCGTTTGTTTCTATTGATTTAAAGTTACATTAAAAAAATATTTAGTGTTATGTAACAGTTGCACAAACTGACACTTGGCTTCGATTTGAAGCTAAGATATGTGTGATATTTCATAAGTTTCAATCAGTACAAAGATAGACATCACATTCTTTATAAGATTTGCTGAACTAAAATATATACCTATGCATACGACCATCCGTTTATAGTTTTACTGGAATCTCTGTGAGCAAGTCAGAATCGTACAGGCTTCATATCAATAACTACTTATGGCTATATTCAAACACAATCAGCGGTAGCAATTGTGCAGCAGTAGCACCCCTCCCCATCCTGAATAGATCAACTTTTGACTGGTTTAATTGTAGCCCATTATCATCATAACATACCACACCAGCAAATATAGTTGATAATGATAATGCTCCTCCACACTTATTATTTACTCATTGTTTTGATTATTTAGAGCAAGACTACTGATTATAATTTGTAAAAATAATAGTAGTAGTTAATTCAGTTAAATAATATATGTTGATCCTTCAGGCTGATATTTCTCTCCTGCTTTACTTTGCTGCCTAACTCATAATTAATTTACTTTCTCTGTACACTTTTGTAGAAGGTCATAACCTTCATCAGACTCTTGACTCACAACATGACCAAAAATAATTGTTTTCTTGCCCTGATGTGGGTAATCTATGAATTGGTTTAAAAAAGTATTAGTCTTTCTTTTAAAATACTCTGTGGACACATAATCACAGGCCACGGGTATTATTGGAATTGGACCTCTGCGCTGGCTGCTGGAGATGGGGATTGAGTGCTCATAGGATTGTTCAGAGTACTGTGATGTTGGTTCTTAACTCTTTACCTACTTAGTCGCTCTTCTTCTACCTTGGGGTGTAGAGGTTTGTCAGAGAGATAGCCACTTATCAGCAGTTATCTTTTGGGCTTTGTTCCATTTGAGTCTTCTCTCAGTCAGGGACTGTCGGATATTGTCTTCCCAGCGAACCCTGAGTCGTCCTGGTGGTCTGGTTCTTGGCCTCCCATACCTGCCATGGTGGCCAATTCCTTCCCATTCTGCCTGCAGATCCAAATCATCGTAACTATGACTGATCCACACACGTTTGTAAGGCCTGTGTTTCTAGATCCTGACATATTGTCTGATTTTGAACTTTGTCCTTTCTTATCACTTGGACCACCTTTCTCGGATACCTCATATCTGAGGCCTGAAGCTAGCTTCTGTGAGCTGTTGTCATTGCCCATGACTCATACCCATACGTCAGGTTCTTAGCTGAACTCTTCTTTCAGGCCGTGGGATTCTCAGTATGTTTTTCAGAACTCAGTAAAAGGCACATAATCATTATCATCATTATAAACTTACTTTTGCGATAAAATGTCATAGGGAGAAATGGTCAGTCATCCAGTGCTCACTAAATGGTACAAGCTATTGTCCTTTCATGTGACTGAAAAAGTTGTTAATGTCATCAGTCCATATTCTTGAGTGTTCTCTTGTTCTCATTCCAGAGATATGTGTACTGGTGTGGCAGTCTTCTTCCTCTTTCCTCTGTTCCTGGAATTCCTCACAGTGGCAGGGCAGAAAGAGATCTTTGGAACAGATCCTTCTGTTTGCTTTGTAAATAGAACTTTTCACTAACTCTGACATTTCCTGGTCCAACTTCTGCATGGTCGACCTCTGGATCTGTTCCCACTGTATTGGTATGGCATTGCTGTCAGTAGTGCCCTGTCTGTTGCAAGTCTTGTTACATTTCATCTGTTTTCTTCTGCTAAAAGATCATATAGATCATACAGATAATGACTGCTTAGTTGTTGTGTTTCTTTATGTGATAGTTGAATGGCTGTCCTGTTCCTCTATGTTAGTTGAATTTCTCTGTTTTTCTGTGTGTTGAATGACTGCTATATTCCTCTTTGTGTTGAATGACTACTATGTTCATCTATGTGTAAGTTGAATGATTACCTTGTTCCTCTGTATTTTAGTTGCATGACTGTCCATCTGTTTGTTAAACTGCTATGTCTCCCTGTGTGTTAGTTCAGTGACTGCTTTGTTCTTCTGTATGTAAGTTGAATGATTGTCTTGTTCCTCTGTATATTACTTGAATAATTCTCCCTCTGTTTGTTTTTTGTTTGACTACTGTATCCCGTTGTGTGTTTGTTGAATGACTACTCAGTGCCTCTCTTTATTTGAATGACTACAGTGTAGTCAGCTTAGTTGGAGCAAAAACTAGACCAGGAGCAGACTGCTTTAGTGACCATGTTCCAGTTATTAAAAAAATTAGAATAAAGCTAAAGAATATTAAGAAAACACCACAGAACATCAAGTTAAACTTAGGAATTCTTAGAACGGATAAAGAAATTAAGGAACAATACAGTGTCACTGTACAAAACCGGTATAATGCAGTGGAAATTATACAAACTATTGATGAACAGTGGGATATGTTGCGTGAGTCAATTCAGCAGACATCAAAAGAGACAATCCCACCAACCCATAGAGTTGCAAAAAAAGAAATGGATGTCAGCCAAAATTCTGCAGTTGATGGCAAAAGAAGAATGATAAAAAAAAGAATACTCTAGAATACAAAAAGAAATAGTGAACAAATGCAAAGTGGCTAAAGAAGCCTGGCTAAATCAAATGTGTACAGAGGTTGGGGAAAATCACAGAAAAGACTCACATTCTATGTACCAACAGATAAATATGTTAACAGGAAAGATGACATGTAACAGCACTGGATGTTTAAAATCAAAAGATGGTGAATATTAATGGGACATAGTAATATAATTAACAGATGGAGAGAGTATATAGGGGAATTGTATGATGATAATAGACCAGATGTAGAATGCAGACCAACAATGATGGTCCACCAGTATTGACTGCAGAAGTTGAGGATGCATTAAATCATATGAAGAAAGGAAAAGCACCCAGGCCAGACAACATCTCACTGGAAGAAATTGAAGCACTGGGAGATTTTGGAATTGAAATAATTACTAAACTTTTAAATGATATTTAAAATAGTGGGTATATTCCAAATGACCATATCTATATTTATAGCTTTGCCAAAGAAACCAGGCACTTTAAAATGTGAAGACTGTCGCACAATAAGTCTTATGAGTCACATGACTTAGATTTTACTGAGAATAATTATGAGAAAAATAAGAAACAAAATTAAACCAGAAATCAGCGATGAATAATGTGGAATTGTAGAAGGAAAAGGTACAAACAATGCCATATACATCCTAAGGACATTGTCAGACAGAGCTATAGAAGTAAATACTGATTTGTACTTATGCTTCATAGACTGTACAAAAGCATTTGACTGTGAAGCATGAAGAAGTAATCATAATGTTGGAAAAATTAAACATTGATGGAAAAGATCTACGAATAATAAAGAATATGTATTGGCAGCAAACAGCAGCTATAAGAATTAAAAACTGTTTAGGTACATTTCAAAGCATAAAGAGGGGCGTACGACAAGGATGTGTACTGTCACCTGATTTGTTTTCACTATACAGTTAATGTATAACGAGATCTTTAATTGATATGCCCGGAATTGTGGTTAGTGGGCACAATATAAACAATTTATGTTATGCTGATGACACAGTCTTGATAGCAACAAGTCAGAAAGAACTACACGAAATAATAGACATTGTGGTGTTAGAAAGAGGAAGAATGGGCCTCAGTTTGAATAATAGGATGACAGAAGTAATGGTGGTATCAAAGAAACAAATAATTCCTAAATGTGTAATAAAAGTTGATGGTGTTATTTTGGGACAAGTACAGAAATTTAAGTATCTGGGCACATGGATAACATCAGATGGAAGATGCATAACTGAGATAAGAAACAGAATAGACAGGCAAAATCTGTATTTTATAAAATGAAGATCTTGTGCAAATTATATTTTTCATTGAGAGTTAGAAAAAGAATTCTTGCTTGCTACATACATCCAGTTTTAACATATGGCTGTGAATCCTTGACAATCGGTAGGCAGGCCAAACAATTTCTTGAGGCCTCAGAGATGTGGTTTTACAGAAGAATGCTTATAATGCATTGGACAGCCAAAAAGAGCAACCAAGAGGTTTTGAAAGAGGCCGGAGCCCAAAGACAACTTATCACAGACATCAGAAGGAGACATAATTATTTTTTGGCCATGTTATGAGATAGGGAAAATAGAACATGTTGTGACTACTGGAAAGATATGTGGAAGGAGGGATAGAGGAAGACAACGAGAGAAGATTCTTGACAGTCTTGTTGCATGGCATGGAAATGTGTCAGCACACGAACTGACATATGCTGCAGGAGATCGCAGGTTGTGGAGAGGCAAGATCGCCCATGCCAGTAGGCAAGACACCTTATGATGATGACAGTGCTCCTCTGTATGTTAGTGATTGACAGTAGTTAAATATTTGCTATTTTGCTGTGTTCTTCTGTCTTGTGATGATACTATTGCTGTTTTACTGTGTTCCTTTTGTTGTGGTTAAATGATTGCTGTTTTACTGTTGTTCCTCTTGTTGTGGTTGAATGATTGCTGTTTTACTGTTGTTCCTCTTGTTGTGGTTGAATGATTGCTGTTTTACTGTTGTTTCTCTTGTTGTGGTTGAATGATTGCTGTTTTACTGTGGTTCCTCTTGTTGTGGTTGAATGGTTGCTGTTTTACTGTGTTCCTTTGTATTGTTAAATAATTGCTGTTTTACTGTCTTCTTGTTTTTGAAGGATTGCTGTTGTACTGTTCCTCTGTTGGGTAGTTCCTCAAACCCCTATATCTACATCCCTTACACTTGTATTGCTGTTTATATTTTAGCTTCAGCTTTAATTCAAGTGTGGTTTTTATAATAATATTGGCTTCAGTTTTCCCTTAAGTAGGGTTTTTATAATATTTCTTGTAATTTTGTTAATTTTTTGTATTTTAAAAATTTTCCATTTCATTATTCATTTCTAATCTATCTGTAATGAAAATATATTGATGTTTTTTTTTTGTTTTTGTGCTACACTGCTTGTTTTCTATATATTCTGCAGGGTGGTTAAAGAAGAAATTGTGGATGAAACCGCACATTTACCATGTTTCAATGGCAGGGTTGTATCCTGGGTAAGTTTTTAATGTTTTAAAAATAACCTGTGCTTTATAAAAGTGAATTGGTGGCCTAGAGTTTAGTGACTGTGTTTTACAATCCTAGGCAATTCAAGAACGGAACTACCAAGAACAGAACCAGTCACGATAGGCATGCCCCTATGTGAGTTTTGGAACCCAATTTTAGGGGAAAAAAATAATGAATCTCCTGCCTCCTTATCAGGCATATCATAAATGGCAACTAATTAGAGATTCTTTCTTCAAAGTTAAAGCGCATCTGCCTGAAAGGCGATAAACCAACAGTCTGCATATAAGTAAGCACATCTGTAAAAGGATGTGCACACAAAATTCAAGTTATGGAACATAAAGAAGTCTATAAGTGTATCAACAACAAGACCTGTCTGCTGGAGTTTACAGCTGGTGAAAACAAAGAACACAAATGTATTTATATCATCTTCAAACATTGATCATTTTGTGCTGGTTTAAAAAAATATATCCAATTCATATTTCCAGTTGGTGGCTGCAGACAACAGTGCATCGGACAATCAGTCAGTCTCAGACTCTCAGAGTGGTGACGTAGTCCAACTTCCAGCTGAGAGAGTAGGAGGCATCGGCGACAGTCGACCACCATCATTTCAGTATGTGTTCCTTTAAAAAAAATAATTCAACATCATGTGTGTGTGAAAATGGAAAAAGGAGGGGGTGAGAGAGAAAGAGACAATCCCTGTCATTTCAGTATGTACTTGTAATGGTAATTTTTCGGGGGGAGGGGAGAAAAGCAGATATAAAGGGAGGAGAAACTGAAAAAACAATAAGAAGTTAAGGTTCCTTTTTCCATACGGGAAGTTTAGTGTGTCCACACTGCAGACGATCAGAAAGTAGCCAGTGGAGGTCTAATAGATTGAGGTGTTAGTGGTGTAGTAGTACAACTACAATAACAGGAGCGTACAGGACCACAACAGCTACATTATAATAATGAAATCCCCCGTGTGGGTTCTGGGGCCCCATTGTGGGAAAAACAAGAATAGACCCACTGCCTACCCAAAAGCATGTCATAAGAGTCGACTAATTGGGGAGCTTCCTTTGAAGTCGGTGTGCATCTGCCGGAGAGGCAAGGAACCAACAGACTATATTCAAGAGAATGAGATCTGTGAAACTGATGCACACGCAACACTCAGGTTCTGGAGCAGGACTGCAGTTCAGTAATGGACGAGCAACCAGAACTTTCCACCAGAGTGTACAGCTGGTGAACGCGAAGAAGAAGAAGAAGATAATAATGAAATAGAATAACAGCTAAGAGAGTACAACACCTACAGTGTAATAACGAAGTAAAAGAATAACAACTATCAGTCATCTTTATTAGAGAACAGTCTTACAAAATTGGATATCTCTTATTACACAAACAAAATAACACTTCTGTACACAAGAAATTATTACAAGGCACAGCCAACTTGGCTTCAATCTCTACTAGTGCTTCAAAGACTCACGAAAGACTGCTGTTCTTTACAACTGATGGGAGCATCTGGTGTACATACACTACTAGGATCTAGCATTCTACACTTTACAGAATGATATGCTACACTCAGCTAATAACTACTGGCATACTGTACTAATTTGTATTTAGTCACACCTCCAAACTAGTTAGTAACTCTTAGAACTTCCTGCCTAGCTAGTATCCAGTTACATTAAACCCTGACAGCCTTTGCCATTGGTCACAAGATATTCAGGAAAGTTTCATGAATTGTCTGACATGCCTCATTTCCAAGCTCAGTATCATCATCACCATCTGGGATAATTTGTTCACTAGATGATGTGCTTGTGATCTTGGAGCAAGTGTATCTACACATCTGCTCACAGTATTTATTTGAACATGGTGCCTGTCTCTGTTTGTTACACTGGGTTTTACAGAAGGTCATTTATCTGTGTTTCCACCAAGGAATGTTTTCCTGAGTAATCATGCTAATTTCCTTACTTAGACCTCTTACATTGATGAATTTTAAAACCAAGTGATCTAGTTAAGGTGACTAAATCACATTCTCACTTCTTCTGGTCTGGATTTCCTTTTAATTCACATCCTATATCTGGTAAATGGTTAAAAAGCTAATTCCTTAATGTACATCCTTAGTTAAAATGCATGTAAGCCACCCTGTTCTCTTACTGTCATCTGTGTTTCTGTATTTCTAGGTTGTTGCCCTGCTCCTTTGAGGCTTGTGCCATCCTCAAGTTTATGAGCCCATTGTCCTATAAAGATTCCGTTTTCCTGGTGTTGTTAGGCCTGGTATTCTCAAGAACTGCATAGAATCACTTAGCCCTTTTTTTAAGTTTTTATTTTATACTTTTTTTTTTTTCAAAAACTTTCATGAGGTCTCCAGCCTATCATATACACATCTGTAAAACACCTTATGTATGTGAGGGGTGGGGGGGGGGGGAGAGAAAGATAGACTGTCAGAGGCATTAGCGACAGTAGGTCACAATCAGTTCAGAATGTACTCATCTTTAAAGTATGTCATTTATTTTTTAAAAGAGAGAAGGAAGGGAGAAACGAAAGGGAACGAGAAACAGCTCCCAATATTATATTTCAGTATGTATTAATCTTTTAAATATTGTGTGTGTTTGAGAGAGTGAGAAGTGACACGATGGGGAAGGAGGGTATTGAAGAAAGGAGGTAGAAAGTATTGGACAGTTTGGCAACATGGCATGGGTGAATCTCTATATCAGAAATGATTGATAGTACACAGCTGGACAGTTTGGCAACATGGCATGGATGAATCTCTATATCAGAAATGATTGACAGTGCACAGCTGGACAGTTTGGCAACATGGTATGGGTGAATCTCTATATCAGAAATGATTGACAGTACACAGCTGGACAGTTTGGAAACATGGCATGGATGAATCTCTATATCAGAAATGATTGACAGTACACAGCTGGACAGTTTGGAAACGTGGCATCGGTGAATCTCTATATCAGAAATGGTTGACAGTACACAGCTGGACAGTTTGGCAACATGGCATGGATGAATCTCTATATCAGAAATGATTGACAGTGCACAGCTGGACAGTTTGGCAACTTGGCATGGGTGAATCTCTATATCAGAAATGATTGACAGTACACAACTGGACAGTTTGGCAACATGGCATGGATGAACATCTGTAGCAGAAAGGATTGACAGTGCACAAAACAGAAGGCGGTGGACATCATGATTACCAGCGCCACATATCATGGTCTGTAAGGCGATTATTTCAGTCTGTTTAAAGTTTAAATATCTTCTGTGTAAAGGCCTCGACTGTTAATATCATCATCATCGTCAGTTTGAATTAGCCTTGTTCAGCCTCTGGCTAGGAAGCTAGCCTCATCCTAGTCAGTAAGTAAAAGTAAAGGTCCTTTTTTTCCCACACCTTTAGGTGTATTGGGCATATAGGGCTAGACCTATATTTTATAGACTAGTTGGCACTTGGTAGATGAGGTGGTCACCATCACTCCAGCCACCTTTACTTCCCAAGACTGCACCTGGTACCCTCTCAAGTCTGGGTTAACCTTTTGGAAAACTTCCGACCCCGTCATGACCCGAACCCAAACTCTTCCGATCAGAAAGTAAGCATCTAGCTGCTACACTATGGTGACTTCCCATCCTAGCCAGGTTATAATTATAGCTACTGACTGTGTTGCTTTTTCAAAGTTTTGGTGTTTTTTTTTTGGTGCTGGTATTTTGTGTCTTCCATGTCTGTCTGGCATGCCAGGTGGTGTACTTGTGTAGGCAGTCTCCTTGGATCTGAATGGGTTATTTGCTCACTATTGTGCCATCTGTTGATAGGGTCACTGTTTATATGCTCATCTCAGCACTTGTATGGCCAATAGTTTGGAAAGATTCATGTTTGGAAGAAGGTACATGTCACATTTGCTGTATCTGTGATAAATCATTAAGTCTGTTGTTTAACTTTCAGTGCAAATGCATCAATGGTGAGTCGAGATGAACCCTGTGATACCTGTACGGAATCTGACTCTGTTGTCAGTGCAGCAAGACGAGGTTAGCTCTTGTGTCAGTAGCCATTGTTTATTTGTCATTGGCAGTCTTGTCCTCCCCTCCCATTGCTGAACCAATGAAAGAACTGTTTTGTTTGTTTGTCCTGGTCAGATATCTCATTGTCATGAGATAGTTTGGCCATCTTGTGAGAAGGCCTTGGTAACAACTGCTACAGATAGCCACCCAAGAAATATTAACACAGTGCAGTTTGAAATTAAAAGTTGATGGTTAAACACCAGCAAGGAAATTAGTGCAACAATTTTAAGAGCGTGGATTTTCCCTATAGCAACAAGCAGACGTGAGTCATGGATTATTGTGCATTCAGTATGAAAGTAGACTTTTTTTTATTTAGATGCAATGCTTTACAAAGTTGCTTAGAAACTACATAAATGACATAGTGCACGATCATAACATTGAGGAAGAATGGCTAGTAAACAGCATCTTTTCAAGAGAACTGAAATACTTTGACCATATCAAAATCAAACCATATCATATTGGAAAGAATAGTGTCCCATAAGTACCCATACCCATAAGTATATTGTTCTGACTCTCTTCTGTTGGAGTCAGTTGTTACATTAGCATATCTGTTCTTCTTTCTTTTTTTGTGTGTGTTAACCCTCAAAAGCACAATTGGAAGGGTGTTTTGTTTTTTGGGTAGCTTACAGCTAGGCTGCAAAATCTGTCACTTTCGGCCCAATACATTTAATTTCAGCAAATGTTAAATGAATCATTGCCTTTTATAACATACTTGTTAAATTAAGGGTTAGTGGGTGTGCTCTTTTTCCCTTCCAGAATACGGCCGCAGAACCCACAGAGAATATATTAAAATTATTTAGCTAGAGTGGTTCATAGTTTTATTATTTCAACATTTACTGATTCAGACATTGGCTGTCTTTAACTAGAATGGCTGACAATGTAGAAAGAATTAAATCAGTGTCTGGTACGGAAAAACATAAGAGTTATGCAGAGCCAGTCTTAATGTTCGGAAGTGAATCATGTTGGGTCAGTACTTTAGTGAAAAGTTGCATTATAAGATTGGCAGTACACAAGACTGATGACAAACCCCACACAGCGTGAACTAAGAGTGTCAGTACACAAGCCTTAAAGCCGATGACAGACCCCACATGGCGTGGACTATAAGAGTGGCAGTACACAAGCCTGAAAGCTAATGACAGACCCGACATGGCATGGACTATAAGATAGGCAGTACACAAGCCTGAAAGCTAATGACAGACCCCACATGGCATGGACTATAAGATTGGCAGTACACAAGCTTTAAAGCTGATGACAGACCCGACATGGCATGGACTATAAGATTGGCAGTACACAAGCCTTAAAGCTGATGACAGACCCCACATGGCGTGGACTATAAGATTGGCAGTACACAAGTCTGAAAGCTGATGACAGACCCCACACAGCGTGAACTAAGAGTGTCAGTACACAAGCCTTAAAGCTGATGACAGACCCTACATGGCGTGGACTATAAGATTGGCAGTACACAAGTCTGAAAGCTGATGACAGACCCCACATGGCGTGGACTATGAGATAGGCAGTACACAAGCCTGAAAGCTAATGACAGACCCGACATGGCATGGACTATAAGAGTGGCAGTACACAAGACTGATGACAGACCCCACATGGCGTGGACTATAAGAGTGGCAGTACACAAGCCTAAAGGCTAATGACAGACCCGACATGGCATGGACTATAAGATTGGCAGTACACAAGCCTAAAGGCTAATGACAGACCCGACATGGCGTGGACTATAAGATTGGCAGTACACAAGCCTAAAGGCTAATGACAGACCTGACATGGCGTGGACTATAAGATTGGCAGTACACAAGCCTAAAGGCTAATGACAGACCCGACATGGCGTGGACTATAAGATTGGCAGTACACAAGCCTAAAGGCTAATGACAGACCTGACATGGCGTGGACTATAAGATTGGCAGTACACAAGCCTGAAGGCTGATGACAGACCCCACATGGCATGGACTATAAGAGTGGCAGTACACAAGTCTGAAAGCTAATGACAGACCCGACATGGCATGGACTATAAGATAGGCAGTACACAAGCCTGAAAGCTAATGACAGACCCCACATGGCGTGGACTATAAGATTGGCAGTACACAAGTCTGAAAGCTGATGGCAGACCCGACATGGCATGGACTATAAGATAGGCAGTACACAAGCCTGAAAGCTAATGACAGACCCCACATGGCGTGGACTATAAGATTGGCAGTACACAAGCCTGAAGGCTAATGACAGACCTGACATGGCGTGGACTATAAGAGTGGCAGTACACAAGCCTAAAGGCTAATGACAGACCCGACATGGCATGGACTATAAGAGTGGCAGTACACAAGCCTGAAGGCTGATGACAAACCCCACATGGCGTGGACTATAAGATTGGCAGTACACAAGCCTGAAGGCTAATGACAGACCTGACATGGCGTGGACTATAAGAGTGGCAGTACACAATTCTGAAGGCTAATAACAGACCCCACATGGTGTGGATTATAAGCGTGACAGTACACAAGACTGATGACAGACCCGACATGGCGGTGATTATAAGCGTGACAGTACACAAGACTGATGACAGACCCAACATGGCGGTGATTATAAGCGTGACAGTACACAGGACTGATGACAGACCCGACATGGCGGTGATTATAAGAGTGGCAGTAGACAAGACTGATGACAGACCCAACATGGCGGTGATTATAAGCGTAACAGTACACAAGACTGATGACAGACCCCACATGGCTTGGACTATAAGAGTAGCAGTAGACAAGACTGATGACAGACCCCACGCAGCGTGAACTAAGAGTGGCAGTACACAAGCCTGAAGGCTGATAACAGACCCCACATGGCTTGGACTATAAGAGTAGCAGTAGACAAGACTGATGACAGACCCCACGCAGCGTGAACTAAGAGTGGCAGTACACAAGCCTGAAGGCTGATAACAGACCCTTCATGGCATGGACTATGAGATTGGCAGTACACAAGACTGAATGCCTCAGACATACATATAGATGGACGAGGGCACAGTGTGGACTATAAAATTGGCAATATTTAATTAAGAGAGAAGGTTAGTAAAAAGTAAAGTAAAGATCCCTTTTCACGCCTTAGGTGCATCGGGTATATGGGAGGAGCATCCCATATTTTTGCAGACCAATCGGCACTGGATGGGTAATGTGGTCAGCATTACGCCAGCTGTCTTTACTTCCCCAGGACAGCCATCCTGGCATCCATTTGAAGCTGGGTCGACCTGCGATGCCCCATACCATGATAAAAATTCACGCAGCCAGTAATGGGTTTCGATCGCAGTACGTTGGATTACGAGTCGGTCTCACAATGCCTAAGCCACGGATGCCACAGAGAAGGTTTGACATAATGACAAACCCTGCACGGCATGGACTATAAAAAGAAACAAGAAAATGCTCATATTTTTATTTGTTGCCCAGCTCTGTAAGTTGATCGCATACATCTTTCATAGCTTTTCCTCCCTAGCATTTTACCAGCATACACCAGATTCTTTATTCTGCCTCTTGTGTGTTACTGTGCCCTTACATTTTTGGGGACGCCTTTTCCTTGGTAATCTTCTAACGCTTACAGCTGTCAATACCCCAGTGTTTGTTTAGTTTTTGACCAGGACATTCTCAATTCTCAACATATTTTGTACAGGACATTCTTTGTCCAGGACATTTTCATCATTCTTTGTCCAGGTCATTCTCAACATACTTTGTCAAGGACATTCTTGGCATACTGTGTCCAGGACATTCTTGGCATACTGTGTCCAGGACATTCTCAACATTCTTTGTCCAGGACATTCTCAACATCTTTTGTCCAGGACATTCTTAACATTCTTTGTCCAGGACATTCTCAACATTCTTTGTCCAGGACATTCTCAACATTCTTTGTCCAGGACATTCTCAACATACTTTGTCCATGACATTCTCATCATTCTTTGTCCAGGACATTATCAACCCACTTTGTCCAGGACATTCTCATCATTATTTGTCCAGGACAATCTCAACATACTTTGTCCAGGACATTCTCAACATGCGTTGTCCAGGACATTCTCAACATACCCCTGCGTGGGTTCCGGGGCCCCAATATGAGGAAAACAAGAATAGGCTCACTGCCTCCCCAAAAGCATGTCATAAGAGTCGACTAATTGGGGAGCTTCCTTTGAAGTCGGAGTGCATCTGCCGGAGAGGCTAGGAACCAACAGTCTGATTTCAAGAGAATGAGATCTGTAAAACTGATGCACACGCAACACTCAGGTTCTGGAGCAGGACTGCAGATCACTAGTGGACGAGCAACCAACACTTTCCGCCAGAGTGTACAGCTGGTGAAGGCAAAGAAGAAGAAGAAGAAGATTCTCATCATACTTTGTCCAGGACATTCTCAACATGCTTTGTCCAGGACATTCTCATCATTCTTTGTCCAGGACATTCTCAACATTTTTTATCCAGGACATTCTCAACATACTTTGTCCAGGACATTCTCAGCATAGTTTGTCCAGGACATTCTCAACATACTTTGTCCAGGACATTCTCAACATACTTTGTCCAGGACATTCTCAACATTTTTTATCCAGGACATTCTCAACATACTTTGTCCAGGACATTCTCAGCATAGTTTGTCCAGGACATTCTCAATGTACTTTGTCCAGGACATTCTCAATGTACTTTGTCCAGGACATTCTCAACATACTTTGTCCAGGACATTCTCAACATACTTTGTCCAGGACATTCTCAACATGCTTTGTCCAGGACATTCTCAACATGCTTTGTCCAGGACATTCTCAACATACTTTGTCCAGGACATTCTCAACATACTTTGTCCAGGACATTCTCAACATGCTTTGTTTATTACATTCTCAACATACTTTGTCCATGTCATGTTCAATATACTTTGTTTATTACATTCTCAACATACTTTGTCCAAGAAATTCTCAGTATTCTTCACAAAAACGTCTCAACTTTTCATTCCTG